ACGGAAGCAAATGGGGGTGGGTAGATTTAGTGAGAACAGGACACTCAAGCAGAGACACGCATTGCATTGCAGGCAAACACAAAAGGGGAAGGGACGTTTACCAATGGGGCACCGAATTAGTGTTCTCATGGATAAAAAGTAAATAAAGTCGCAGACAGACTAACGAACTTTCCGATCCACTGTCCGGTGGGGTCTCATGATCGATTCGGATAATATACTGAACTGTCGTCCAAACAGTGACAAAAGGTGACAGATTTATCAAATTGCGGATACACAGGCGGCTAGCGGCAGCGGCTATTGTCCTGTTGGTTCGGCTTCTGGCTAGATATAGCACTGTTCACAAACACCAAGCAGGCTGGGGTTTGTCTCACAGTTGTCTCTGTCCAATGTTACCTTAACATGAAGTGCCCTAAAAAGATTTTGCTGGCCACGGCTGCTTTGCGGGCAAGATGCCAAGGCCGACTAGGAGAGCGAACGCGTTACAGACCCTTTAAATGCCCATGATCATGAACGTGTATGAAGCTCAATCATCCACTACTGTTAAGTTGTTAGAAATAACCGATGGGTCTGTAGCCTCGACAGTGTATCCAATGAAAAAAAACGCAGAATGCGCTCCTGGGGATAGCAAGGGGCGCGCTGCCCCCCGGCACCCGCGAGCATTGACGCAGCAATGTGTGGACGTGACCAGCCTTTCCAGTGCACAATTTGATGAAGAATGGAAACAAGGCCTCCGGTGCTGACAAGTGTCGCCGTCATTTGACTGTGGTCGACAATGTCGTAGACCGCTGAACTAATTTGGTAAAAGCCTTTTTATACGTTTGGGTCAAAGGCGGCCCTGGATTGTGCGGGTGTGCATTCGTGGCACTGTCTATAGCATTATGGTTAGCGTGGAATTTAACCAATACAGTGAACCGATAATAGGATGATAGAGGCTTTCAATGGGCTATGTGTTCACCTGGTACTCCAACGATGGCCGTACTCGAAATTGAAATGACCAGTCCGAGCTGATTGGACCAGTTCAATGTCAAAGTCACGTGCGGTGTGCGGCGTAAATACTAGCAAAGTGAACCGCTCTAGTTGTCCGCTTGCGAGGGCTTGGCTACAGTTCAGAATACTGTAGTCGAAAGGCGGGAACTGCGATGAAATATGTTGATGGCAGCCTCGGGCTTCTGTCTGGTCATTCCAAAGGGCTGTGTAACAGTGACGGGAATGACAGGCATCTCTACGGAGTCCCTGGTCAAAAAGGACCGGTTCCGACTGAAGTAACCTCTCCAGATTATCTCCCAGGAGGCGCTGGAAAACAACCGGCGTCGCAAGGAGGATCGGATTTCAGGTGAAACGACCTAGCTAAATAATAGTAAAAGGGCCGATAGAAGCGAACAGACGAGCTCCAGGGCATAGGTGAGAAG